TGGGCATTTTTCTTCATTGTATCGTATTTATTCTTAAAATAATACCATGGCTTATACTAGCATTCTGCAACGGGATGTCTATGCGGAAAAAAGGAAGAGAGAAGAAGAAAAGGAACGGGAATGCCAAGGCACGACACTGGGGTAGAGGGAAAAACACTCATTGCCGCACGTTGGAGCAAATAATCGGGGCTCCGCACAGGGCGCCCCGACTGAGCCGGTCCATTTCCTGTTACTTTTTATGTTATTTTCTTTGCCCTTTCTTATATATATTTTTCAGTTTCTTTTTGAAATTATAGTTTCTCTTATGTTTATTTTTCTCTATTAAGTTTATTTTTTTCTTCAAAACTGTCCAGAACATTCAAATATTTCCGTAATTTTAAAAATGTTCTTGCTTTCAAATTCGTTCAAAAATTTCATAAACTACTCTGGTTTTTCAAAATTGTTTAGGCATTCCAAAAATAGTGTTCCAAAATTTTGGTCACAATTTCAAAAAAATATTCCCATTTTCACATGTTTTTCATAAATCCAAAAATGTTCCACTTTCAAAAAATGCTTAGGATTACCAATTTTTGTTCACAATTTTTATAAACCGTTGGTATTTTTTTCACAGTTTTATTTTTAAAATTACGAATGTTACCTTTTTCTTGTTTTTTCAAATTTAGCCACGATTATTTTTTGAAAAAAAGAAATTTTAAAAATGTTCAGATTTTCCAACAAAATTTGTGGTTTTCTAAACATCTTAAGTTTTTTTGTAAATTAATTATTCGTATTTGTTAAAGTTTTTTCTTGATTTTAAAAATGTTTGGAATTAAAAAAAAGCACATGTTCGAAAACTGTTTGAATTTCGCTTTTTTGCATTCTTCAAAAATTGTTCAGAATTTCTAAAGAAATTCACAGTTAACAAGAAAAAGTTCAAAAATGTTTTTTCTGCAGTCGTATATGCTCTTTTAGAAATTTGCGATGTTCAACAGTCGGAACTCTCATCAACTCCAGTGGCTTGCAATGACACTTTGCAACTAGCGGTCGTGAGTTCGATCACATATGGTAGCACCGCTGATTTTTCGGGGTTTATTAAGTCACACTGTTGCGCTACAGTAATCGCGCTAGCTACACCTACCAATTGGCCAATACAGCCGGGGGATGTCCGCCGTGCAGCATGAGACAAATGAATGCAATGCCTGGTGTATAGGAGCTCCCCTGGCAATGCAGATCAAAATCCTTGCCAGCGCTATGTATCGCCCATGCAGATTCCTATGGAATCGCTTACGAGCGGACGCCGGCCCTTTAGCTATTCGTTGTGTGATAGCAGTGCTCGTTTCACATCCAGTCGGCCTTTCGATCGGCTTAGTTTGGTTTTTCGTTTCATTTGTTTTTTGATTTTTTGTTTTTCTTTTATCTTCTTTATACTTTGATTTTCTTCGATTTTCACTTTATTTCCTTTGTGTGTCATTTATTAATTGTCAAAAACATTTTTTGTCACATGATTAACATTTGGTATAGATGATTAAGATTTTTTTCATACACATGACAAACATTTCTATTTTTTTCATTCAAGTTATAAATTTTTCGTATATATCAGAAGTATTTTTGCATACATTTTTACTTTTTTAAATGCAAGATTAACATTTTCAAATTTTAATGTAAAGTTTTTTTTGAAAGTTAGAATATTTCAAAATATCAAAAGTGAAAAACGAAAATAAAAATGTTAATGGAAAAACGAAAAAATATTTAAAAACACGCATTACATCATCCTGACGTCAGCATTATGCGGCAAGGTGGTTACCGGACTCCCTGCAGGCGAGCCATGCGACGGCCTTGCTGCGCGCGACACATAACCGTGCCCCAAATCCTGATCGATCGAGTTCTTCAAGGCTGGGTGAGCGAACAAAGTCATGGAATGCACCCTCATTGGTCCATCACGCACAAATCCTCGAATATATGTGTTGAGTAACGTGATTGTATTAGGAAAGACGAGATAGACTAGAATTTATTCCGGCTTGGCTTGTACTTCAAGTAGATCATGTACTCCTATATATATGCCCACGACGCTCAAGCAATATAACGAACTATTCCACCAATCCTCTCTCTCCCTTCTAACATAAATCGATCATAAACCCTAGCCGTCGCCGCTTCCGCACCTGCGCACCGCCCCCGGGGCGGTCGGCCTCCATGACCGCCGCCGGGGGCCACGCCACCCGTACCTAGAGTTCGTTCGCCGGTCGTGTTGGCCGGCTGCCCTAGAGGTTGAAATTGGCAAGTCTCTAGTGACTTATTTAAATTAGAGTTTACAAAATTATGATGAGCACACGAACACAATGAAACATGATGATGCATTATGAAACACGAAGAAGCCTGATAAAATGATATAAAAACAACTTTAACTTGTTATAATTTGGAATTCACCTTGAAACAATTTGAACTTCATTTACACACGGTGAGAAATTATGTAGCGGTTGAAACACGGAGAAACCAATTGAAACTGTTTTGAACTTGTGTAGCCTTCAACAAATACTTGTTGAAACTCACACATGCAAGTGAATTTTATAAATGATATTTTTTTGACGAAATCGGATACCATTCATTTTTCATGTTTATACACAATGGAACATCATGATGAACAAAGAACACAATGAAAATTTCGTGTCGCATAGTGAAACCTCATGAAACATCTATCACACACAATGAAACATCTGCCACCCTGAATGAAACATCATGAAACATATTTCACGATTCTAAAGAGTTTCATGCTCATGGCATCATGTTTCATGGTTCCAAACATTTCCCTCCTTCGGATCGGGAAAAGGCCACCTCAGTGAGAGCTTGGTGAACTGATGCAGTGAAGAAGACAAGTCCTCACATGAATGCTCCGACAATGTTAATATCTTGGGTGATTTGGAAGGAATCTGACACCAAAATGTTCTGCAGCACTGCCGCCCCCACAATGATGGCTGTTGTGAT